TGATACTCTTGTTGGCAGTAGCCTATCTAAGAGGGGCTTGGTCAAGTTAATTCCATGCTCTAACCTGACCGAGGGATGGGAAGTTGATGATTCTTTCGCTTTGTGGAGAATGGGCTACCTGTTAGAGAGATCAGGTTTCTTTGCTGTGGCTTTCTTGATCTGCGGCGAAAATGTCTTCTCGTCCTTCGTGGACAGTGTTGTCATTACCCTATTCATATCTCGTTTTTTGCCAGGGACTACATCACACCACTCACTGGCGTCCTCCGCGCTAACTGTAGTCGATTGTGTCTCCCTTCTATCCATCGATGTGGATAATGCTTGATCCATAAGTCCCTAGGCGACTTTAGCTGAGGGTTATCGACCCCCTGGTGCACCTCTTCTTCTTCCACTGCTGTCGCTAGGAGGCTTACCTGATATCGTAGAGGCAGCATGGTTGTCCGGAATATGGTGGCTGATTTTTTGTTCTGAATGACACTCACTCCCTGACAGAGACGCATCAGGAACGTGTATTGTTTTGTTGATGATGCTAGTCACGTCATCAGTGTCTGAGTATTAGGCACTATTCTCCTGTGGCAGAGGACTCTTACAGTCCATGTGATTTAGAGCCCCGCTGAGAATGTCAATGGCTTCCGTTATCCGGAACTTAGTCGTACTACAGCAGTCATTACACAGCCATTTCAACAGAAGTTCGCAGCAGCACTTGTATGCTGTGGGGCTCAGGTCTGTGAATATGCTGTGAAACCATTTATTGCGGCTATCACACTGCATTACTTCTTCAACTGGGAATTGGCATATAACTCTTCCGCAGCGGTTCTTCTTCATAGGTGTACGTTTCAGAATGGATTGGAACAAAACGGTTCAAATATGATCTCATACATATCTGACTAAAATAAATCAGTGATAAAAAACCAATGAGTGTGCAAAAATTGATATATATATATATATATATATATATAACTATTAAGTTATAAGAACACCACTTCCTGTGATAAAATAGACTCAAAACTGAAACGTAAACTGACTTCGGTCAGAATAAACTGATTTAAAGTTAATCTATAGACTTCTGGGGCGTTTAACACAACAAAAGTCGTAATTAAACAAGAGCGTTTAAAATTCACTCCCTTTTCAAGGTTCGCGTGCAGAACTAAAAATTTCTCGGGTTATTTATCTATCACACTAAAATCCTTCGTCTGTACTGAAACTTCACCTTGAGTTACTAATCAGATGTCTAGTTGATTACAGAAGTGATAGACTATGTCATCTCTCTCGTTTAAAGGTTTCAGCTTGACTAATACCATATTCAACAAGTTGGTAGCTGTTAACACTGTGTTTGGGAGAAGTAGGTTTCAACAACTAGCAATTTGACGGGCGATAAACGCTGCTGTGAGATATATATCGTACTAAGCTTTCAAATACTGTGTCCATGTCCTTTGAGTTGTCCAAAGAAGATGGTTGGTAAAATACAAAAATTCAGTTGTTCCAAATTGAAGTAATTCAAAATATTGCTAGCACACCTGGTGAATAACGGAACTACCTTCGACATGAAATCCTCTGACAAGTTCAATGTTGGTTTCATATACTACTGGAAGGGTCACAGTTATGGTGTACTTACCGGACCTTGAAATTTTATAGACTTCCGAACACTCTATGAATCATTCACTGATAATTATTGTTCACTCTACATTTCTTATGTTTCACTTCAGCACCTGTACTAAAATGCTACTTACCTCTCACTATTAACTTAATCGCTTTTAATTCCCGCGTGAAAGTGACATGCTGTTTATTTTCACTTAAAATTTAGATTTGACATTATATCTTATAACTTATTTGGTAAAAAGTTTATTTCAAAAATTATCTATTTACTTATTTGTACATTTTTTTCAGTGTTTCTCTCACCTAAATCAGTATTCAATCTATATCTAAATTAACAAATCATATTATATATTCTACCAGTTCTAATTAGTGTACGTTTGTTCATGCCTGTAAAAATGGCTGGTTTCTCTTCCAGAAAAAAAATTAGGAGAATCAGTCATACCAACGTTCATTTACGTGGACATCCACTACGCTTGTCACAGTATATTGGAGCCACTTTCTTACTAGAGTTAGATGAAATTTTCCACTATACAGTTCACCAAAAGTCTACTTAATATACTAAGAGTTTCAAAGTTCCAAGCTACAACCAAACGATTCTGTGAGTCGCAACGAAACTCATATTTCAAAAGATGGCGAACTCGTCAAATACTTACCGAATTTGCTAGAAATCCTCTAAATTATCTATCACTGACACGTGACTTAAGCGATTTTCCTGCAGTATTTTCTTGCGTTTTATAAAGGTAACAGCTACAAGAATTAAAACACTTTAGCGTTTTAAATTTGCTTTGCTTCTGGCTTTCTCGTTTTACATTAGCTAGAACAGCGGCTATCAGTTGGATTTTGATTTCCCGTAGGCAGTTGCTGTTGTGTACGGCTTTTTTGGTTTGCAAATGGCTGTGATAAATATGGATGTAATATTTGACTATTCTAACGTTGTTTCACCGTTTTTCATACAGAAAAAAAGCTTTTTCGCTGTACACTCTTCTGAGACTGGTTAGCCTTTTGTTGTTATCAGTGACAGCGATTCTGTGAGTCCCAATGCATTCCTTGCGTTGTGGCTCTACATACAATATTTTCTCCTTCGGTTAATCTCAGTCACACGGTTTAATATTCTGTGTTTCTTTAGAATTCACTGTAACAAGCTGAGGCAATAATGTGCTTCGTTAACAAAGTAGGTAATCATTGCGAGTGGAAGCAGCACATATGTAAGAAGCTAAGAACGTTCTAAAAGACTTTCGAAGAGTGAAAACCTTATGAACTGCTGACATCGTCAACCTTTTGCACACACTATATTCACATCCAGAGGAAAAATCGGTGGATGGGAGATATCGCATCTTAGTGGTACAATTTTACGGAACCTATACCTAGTGTTTATGTTTCTATCTAATATTTTTGTCCTTCAGACCACTAGCAAAGTATTGTTAAATGTATTCTTGTAGTATGATTCAATGCCACGATTACTAGCAGTTAATGATATTACATATATGTAATTTTCAAGATATATTCCGCACCATTAATGTGTTCCACATTTCAGAAGGAGTGTAAACTGTGATAACTGAATTTATTGAATACTTAAGTCACACTTGATCATGCGCGCTAATCATGTAAATGTTTAATCTAATTAAACGAATTTAATCTGTATCACTTTTAAGAATGTCAAGTCGTAATGAGGTCTCTCAGTTAGTTAAATTCAATAGGAAGTTGCTGTAGTCTCATCAGGAGTCCACTAATGAGTTTTTCTAAGACTTATCGCCGGATAGATTCGCACATTCAGTTGAAGCAATTGATTCTACATACAACAAAGAAGGGAAGTTCACTCATACAGTTATAACCATGCAGCCATTCTTTGTTCCAGTTTATAATACCCCATAACTTTGAATGTGGGCGTACAGTTCAGTTTGCTTGAATTGAGAAAGAATTTAAACATTACGCGATTCGGATATCGAACAGTTTCCGTTGAACAATGGGAGACACTTCCCGAACGAAGGCTTCATCTTCGACTGCACTCAACCAATATATGTAAATAAGCTTCTTTCGTTGAACGGAAATAAAACTTTCCATCTAATACTCTTGTATTCTACTTGATATGCTTGAGGTGGGAGTACGGCATGCTAGACAGGTACTCCCTGAGAAATGAACTTGTTACTTTACGTAAGTGTAATTCTGTACGAACACTATCGATTAATATAGGTGATGACTTATAAAGGCTTTTGAGGGAGCTCAGAATACCTTAGTGATCTGTAGATGAATGGTTATTAGGACTAACATAACCTACAAAACAGGTGCACCAGCAGTGGAGTGCACCTGTAAGCAACTTTACAACAGAAAGGTAATACTAATTGCTACCACTGTTACATTTCAGAAAGACCATCCACAGTATTCTTCTTGTCCCAGTGTATACTGATATTATGATAAGCTGATGCCATTTGATACAGTAAGGGGTTGCGATCTTCCGAAACCCCATGTAACAATGTGAATTCCACCAGCATCAATCTTTGACTGAACAATTTCAACTATGTACTACATCAAAATAAACCTAATCACCGCAATCTTTAAGCATTTTTTCTCACTCATCACATGACTTCTTTGACGTGTCATGAATGATTTCATCCATCACGGATGAAAAGAAAGAAACTTAGTGTTCTCATAATAGAGATCTAACTTATGTCAATGGGCTTATTCTCTGTCAAAGGCCCGAATCTCATAGGATAACTGCTATGACACTAAGCATTGCCTGTAGTCAATTAACAACCTGAAAATATAAAACCACTCAAATATCAAGCCTTTAAGGCTCCCTAACAAAAATAGAGGTCATTTCTAGGTAAAAAATTTCCCTAAGTGCATGCATTTCTCCATAATAACTCATCTGGTTTATCAAGAGGCTTACGCATTAATACAACATAATTATTCGATATTATTACAAATGGTGATCTCCACTGTGTTCAAACACACACCGACGGACTTCAGAATTACTCACACGACGATGTCATTGCATGCAAGCAATCCTGCGAAGATATCGACGGGCGAATAGGCAGAGTCGCCTCACATCATCAGCTCCGAGAGGCCAGGTTTCACAGGCGTAAAACAATTGTCAGTCTTAAATCATTGCAAATAGGAAGACAAGAATTTAAATAATGAAGGAGAGTTTTCGGCATAAACGAAGAATTACTCAACACTTCACTCCAAAAGTCGCGATTTTCATGGACCCATGAAGAGTTGAGTGAGAAAGATGTGAATGCTTTTATATTTTATTTATTTTTATTTAGTTTATTTTATCTACTATATCAAAATAAGGTAGGAATTGTGTTTAATACAAATAAGAATCTTATTACTCGGTCAAAATTACACACCCGTATATCTAAACATCTCAAAAGCAATAACGAATTCGGCTCCTCCAGTTGTCCATCTTATTGAGGTGCTGAAATGAAAGGAACAAAAGCATGAAAAAGAAACTAGGAAAGGCTGAGAATTGAGACACAAATAAGAACATACATCTAGTGTTTACTATAATTGTGTTATACACATATGTAAGGTTAATGCTGAAGATGCCATCAAGTCTCGTGATGAAACAAAAGAATGGAAAAAACCAAACATATTGGGAAATCATTATGAACTAAAAATTTCTATTACTACAGTAGTTTTATGTAGCAATCAGTCTATATGCTTAAGAAAACTGACTTATGAAATAATTGTAAATATAGCAAGTTCCAGATATATTCCGAAAACAGACAACTAAGCTAACTATTTGACACCAGTTAAGCGAAGTATTTGAGAAGTATAAATGTGGATTTACAGGCTTTTGAAAAATCGAGAAAGAGATGAATGATGTGCGGTGGTTGGATAAGAATATGATAACTGGCTAAGTCATGTCAGTGTTAGCAGCATAGAGAGTACTCGTATGAAAAAATGCATGCTTCTCTCGTTATGCACCATAGTAACCATAGATAGAAACTTTTTCCGTAAAGCGCATTAAGTTAGGAATTTGTTAAGACTAAAATTGTTATTGAGTGAGAATAAAAGTGGCTGAGTGTCAATTTAACAAGTGTAAAGAGGGTGTGAAAATGTACAAAAGGAACATATGAGAGTGATAATAGTGAACTAATAATTAAAGTAAAAGCAAACTAACAGTAAAATTGAGAAAAAGAGAAAATTAAAATTGTTTACAGGGAACGACTAGAGGAGGTTAAGACCAAGGTAGAATAAGAGACTGGACAAGCTTTTTCTGTATACAAAGTTCGGGGTTGAATTGACGAATTGCCAATGCCTCCGCCATACAAAAAAGCCGAAACCTGACGCCCTTTGTATCATTTGGCCTCACCTTGTAGGTGATCTAGAAAGACGACTCTGGTGGAGCTACGTGGCTTGAGTTCACCAAGTGCTCGAGAACTGAGCTAGTAATTGTCTAGCATTGTTTGCTTTTATTTGAATAATTAATTCACTATTTTCACTATCATGTGTTCCTTTTGTACATTTTCACACCCTCTTCACACTTGTTAAATTGACACTCAACTACTTTTATTCTCACTCAATAACAATTTTAATCTTATCAAATTTCTAACTTTGTGCCGTTGAGTCCCACGTAATTTACAACTTTTATTTTTTAATTCTAAATCTCATTAACTTAATTTTAATCAAGATAATAAAACAGCGTCTTTTATTTAATTGAATTTTTTAAAGATTTTCCCGTCGATTGATTGGACCGAAGTGCTCGGTCTCAGGTTGACATGTCGGCTTCTTGTGCGGATGCTTCGACGATGTCTGGGTATGTAATTAGAATTTAATTGGTGGATGATGACTAGCAGTGGAATCCAGGATGCGCATTTCATTCTATTTGGGACTCGTCAGCTGGATGTACCTGCCTTCCCCAGTGAGTGATGATGTTCCCACCGAGGCTCGAATCCAGTGCCCATAGTTTCAAACGCCAATTGGTTTAGTGGATAACGCTTTGGCGTTTGAAACCATGGGCACTGGATTCGAGCCTCGGTGGGAACATCATCACTCACTGGGGAAGGCAGGTACATCCAGTTGACGAGTCCCAAATAGAATGAAATGCGCATCCTGGATTCCACTGCTAGTCACCATCCACCATTTAAGCATCTTTTATACCTTCAAAAAACTAGCTTTAAGTTCACCACGGTTACACAGTAGAAAGGAAGTAAAATGTTGCTCAACAACTAAGGATTATTAGATGAGTTTGGCGATCAGTCATATCTATCGTTTTAATACTTGGGTGAAACAGGGTTCGAAACCATTAGTTGGAAGTCGAAATCTATTCCAGTGAAATACACAGCTGATATGAACAAAAATCAACTAGAAGTACCAGGGGCAACAGACAACTTTTAAGTTGCAGACTATGCAGTGAAAATGTTGTCCTTCAGCCACTGTGTGACAGTCCACTGACCCACTATTTTAGAGTTCTGCTGATTTGCATAGTTGTAACACAATGTCATCCAATCAGAAGTATTTAAATAATTCAGCTTACCAATTTCAGAAAAAACAAGTTTTTCACATTTCATTTCGATATCAGAATTACTGTAGCTGCATTCGTCTGGAATAATACGAAAGTAAAATGTCTGAATAGGTAGAATAGGCTCTTACACTAAACAAATCTAAACAGCACAAAATCATTTTCCAATGATTAGATTATTTGTCTAATTAAAACATTATGTTAAGGAACAACCCAACAATCGTTTGCATCTCCATGCAGCTGGTAATGAAGCACAGCTATAGTGTTAGGGTTAGTTGCCCTGATGGAATGACTTCAGAGGGGTTTAAGGACGCTGGAGACAGTTTATTATCTGCATTAACTAAGGTGTTAGGCAACGTCTGAAAATCAGAGGACATCCCGCCGGATTGGTGTAAGTGATTGATTATCCCAATATACAAGAAGGGAGACAAATCTTCCTGTGATAATCGCAGGCGGATTAACTTGACTAATATGGTATCTAAAGTTCTAGGCTCAATAAATCATGCGTAGATTATGCGATGTTCGGGAAGAACAAACACGAGAGAACCAGGCAGGCTTCAGACCACGAAGAGGGTGTATTGATCATATCTTCACTCTCCGGCAGATTCTGAACACAGGTGACATACTTAACGGCGTCCAACAATTGTCATATTTCTTGACCTGAAAGCGGTATTCGATTCCCTCGACGGAGAGGTACTATGGCGATGTTTGACTGTGAAGGGAATGCCGAGAAAATACATTGCACTGATCAAGTCACCCAATCGATTCAGTCAGGTGAGAAACTACGCAGGATTATCATCTGAATTGGTGACAACCAGTGGTGTCTGTTAGGGATACCCACTGTTCCCATTCCTGTTTAATTTCATCATAAATGTACTACTAATGAACTTAACCCTAACTGACTTCAGCGACTCAGAGACTGCTTTGTTACCAGGGAATAATAGTTTCCTTGACTTTTAATATGCAGATGATATAGTCCTCCCTGCTAGGTGAAGACGCTGACAAAATGTAGTCTTCTGAGCACCTTGAGGAGCAGCAATCTGCGAATGTTTGGCATGCGATTCGCTCCTTTCAAGTGTAAGATGGTGCTGCAGGATTGGACTACATCGACTCCTAGATTAAAGATAGGGAGGGAGTAAAGTGGAAGGGCCTGTTGACCAATTCACTTATTTGAGGAGTTACATCAGCCAGTATCGGCGACACGAAATCTCAGCACGGATGCAAAAGGCTCGTTTGGCGTACGCCAACTTACACCATCTCCGGCTTGGTAGATGTGATATGCCGCTGGCTGTCGACCAAAGGGCATGTGTACTGCCCAGCAATTCGCTCTACCCTCTTTTGTGGATGGCTGTGAGACATGGCCATTGAAAGTAGAAGACATGAAAAGCCTGGAGAGCCGTCTTTGATCATAGGTTTCTGCGTTTTATCTCCCATGTTAAGTGGTACGATATAGTGAGCAATATTGAAATTAGACACCTGTTGAGTGCTAGGGAAGGAGGTGAAATCAATCGACCAGGTTTCGAAGCAGCTGCATCGATTGAGATGGTTAGGACATGTGTTACGCCTGCCTATCCACCGCCTTCCTCGATGGACAATGTTAATGGGCATGGGATAAGGTTGGATAAGAACTAGTGGTGGTCAAACGAAAACATGGCTTCATCAGTCAATCAAATCCTCAACAGTTAGTTTAAGCCAGTCACGTAAGTAGGTGTAGACTTCCTGGTTGGGACAGTAAACACTAATGAAGGCTAGATACAATTGGTGATATGGCTCAGAATCGTTCTCATTGCATAGCGCAGATGCATTCACTCTTTGTGACTTTTCATATCCAATAAAATTCTATTTTTCTTCCATATTACCATTCTTTTTGTCTCATGTTTCTGTTTAGTATCTTTCTTCTGAATCTGTCTTTACTCATTTCTCTTGCTTTGTGTGCTACATGGAGTGTAGACACTCGAACTGCTGTACATTTGTGCTAAGTTCTACACTGAAACCAGTCAGTCAATTTCTGTCCAAATCTCGGTAGGAGCAGGACAGGTTTCGAACGCGTGGTGAACTTGGAGCTAGTCGAGCGACCAATGAGTCACAATTCTATAAGCCTCGTTTATTGAAACTAGGCAAAACTAGTGAAAATATTACTTTGGTAGTGTACTTTATAGCGTTCATAACCCACCTAGGAGATTACTTGTAAACTGTCAAAAATTACTTACCTGATTTATTGGATGAACCATCCTCAGTTTCTTTTTCAGAGTGTTTCTCCTCCTCGCCATGAGTTTCTGTTGGCTTTGAATCATAATCTATAGTTGAATAAAAAATAACAGAGTTAAAACAACAGGTGAAGTTGACAGACAAAAACAATTCCATTTCCATCCTAAAAAAGATAGTACTAAGATTAGTTGGACTAGCACTAAATAGTATAATTGGCCCCCTCTACAATAAATGACCAGAAAAACCGAAGTCCAATAGACGTAATTCAAAAAATCTGTAATGTATGTCCTACTACCTGACTGCACAAGAAGTGTAGTGTTTGTGAACATGTGAAAAATAGTATGAATATATCCAGCGCTCACTACCAGACTAGTGAACATGGAAGACTCATCTAGAGTAATTTGAAACCTTGATTCCACACCGATGATGTTCGAGGGCTCCCACATCTGGAATGCACAAAGGAGTCACGAACCGTGAGAAAGGAGACATCGACGCTACTCTACAACTATGTATACCAAAATTTGAAGGTTCAGGGAGAGTTCGTTTAAGACAAAAATTTCCGACTCTTCTGAAAGGCGGTGGTAACACTCTAATTAAGGAACCGACTAGATTCTTTGAGGTATTCGAGATTGAGAGTTCTACATCAATTTGGATTAAAGATATCACTATGACAGTCTTAATAAAAGGTATATGTTATACATGCAACAAACAGTGGTATGAGTCTGTTAGCAGCTGAGACAAAATAATGGTTGAAGTAATCAACTGAGTGTATTTCGTTTAAGTTGTGATGCATCCATTACTTGTGCATGCGTCATCAGTGGTTACAACACGCTTACGAGTATTTTCACGACAACAATCAATGTGTTTTAGCTTTGCTGGAAAGAACTATTTTTTGGAGTTGTCCGTTACATGGAGATGTTTCTGAGAAGATTTTGAGCATCCTCAATGACCTATTAATAAAACACCCCGAGTAGATAGATCTAGGTAACAAAAACAGCCTCACCACTACTCTTACCTAGCTGTGACGTTAAATGCGACTGACTGAGTTTTAACATAGAACTTTGGACAGAAAAGCAGCAGTTCTAGTTGCCACACTCTATGATGCTACTTAGTCACTCAAGTCGAAATATAAAGAGCAGGGTTTATACTTAGACTCGATTAGTTGGAAGTTTGTTATCGCTATAAATAGTTACGTTTGACATGAAAAAATGAGTTCTGAATAATAAAAACATTATCCGAACAAATATGACTATATTTTACACATATAATTGCTTGGAGGATTTCATCATCTGAGCTGACATCAGTTAGAGAACCCTTGGAAACCCTGGGAGTACTGGACAGCTATTTAGTGCTAGTTTTAGGACTCTTCATCAGTAGGCACCCAGTGGGGTTCGAACCCAGGACCTTCTAGTTACAAGACTTACAATACTTGAATATATAATTGCAACAATTCATTGTAATCAATTATTCGTCTACATAACATAATTATTTTTATTTACTGTTTGACAAATACATTATATTAAAATTGACTAGCTGACTGGTTTCAACATAGAAATTTGCACAGGAGTACAACAGTTCGAATTGCCATAAAGGTTGAAATTGCAGTGGAAGTATTTACTTTCATTATTCAAGCTGTAGGCACTTGACAAAATGCCGATGAAGCAAACGTGGATTCATTTTTATCCTGCCCCATGTGTAGTAGTAATAATAATAATAATTCAAAATGATGATGATAATAATAAAAACTTTATTTTAAACAATATGTATTAGTTTAAGTCCTACAGATTATTTAACTTCTATCCCCTTATTGACAGGATGTCACTTTAGTACTCCAAAGTGATAAAATTCTAATCAACTAGAAATATAACATAGTCACTTAGATGTTATTTATGATGATAACTGATAATCGATATTGAATACTTAGATATAATATTGGAATCACAGCACCGTAAATCACTGAAACGGTTAAACATAGAACTTTCTGATTCCTTATTTGCTCATTTAAACACAAACGTATTATATAACAGGCACCAAAAATGACGCATGAAAAAAATAATATAACAGTGGAATAAAAGGAAGTGGATAATATGGACATATATGCGTTTTCATAAACTACGTCCATCAATTTTTGTTAATTTCCATGATGGGAGTAAAGAATTCTTAGTATGGCCACCGCCACTTCCACTGGAGAAATGTTCACCGGTTACACGGGAGATTCGGCTTCAAGTCCTCTTTAGTACACTCCAAAGCCTCGCTAACTCACTAGCCGGTCACTCCCTATCCTCAAACTAAGAGTTTGCGCAGACCAGCTTTGCGCCAAAACACTATACTTGACAAAAACTAAGAGCATGCTAAGATGTTCAGTAGACTCTGTGTTCTGTCAGTTTTTTTTAAAAGTTGAATGAGTATAGCACGAGTCACCCAGGATCACTTCCATTAATACATATGTGATAATGTTTAATAAAAGCAGTAACGTTGGGTAGTCTTGATTGACACCACTGGTTGTCTTTACTTCAGATGACAGGTCTCCGTATACCCTCACATGGCTACAGGAATTTGAGTAGAGTGCCTGGATTAGTACAATGCACTTTTCGGAATTTCTTTTACATTCATTGAGTCAAATAATACCAACAGTTCAAGAAATTTGGAAATTTGTCAGACACCAATATGCATGACCATATTTCTAAACCTGTCGAAGGATAAAGGTATGATCCGAGTACCGTCTTCGGGACCAGAAGTCTGTTTAGTTTTCTCAGGTTCTTCTTCCTGAAACTCACTTAGTATCAACATGACTACGGGATCTTGCATCTTAAATATTATTTTAATCAAGCTGATTCACCTGTAATTATCAAAAGATTAGTCTTCGATCTTATAAACTGAGATGACCAATTCGACGGAACTGTTAACCTGGCCAATGATGCGTTACCACCATGCTTAAGTTAGTCTAGATTTATGCCATGAGATGCTATTACTCTGCTTTGTTTAAGATTACAGATAGCTTAATGCAACCATCGCCAAAGCTGGAAGATGGATACCTACGACGTATCCAGGCTGAAGCTAAGTGAAAAGTAACTGGGTTGCAGTTAAAAGACAGCTGAACTGCTCCTCCAAGTGTTCTGTCGAAGGTTATGTTCGGGACTTTTAGGGATCAGATCTCTCGTATTTATCAGTTTTGGATGAAGGTTGCAAAAATCTGATGATATACAATAACCATTTGCCGCAGATTATCCCACAGTAGACTGGAGATAATATCAGACATCCTCAGCATGAGTATTGCTGCCACACCGACGTACAGACTTCATGTTCCTATCAAAAATCTGGATACGTAAGAGCTTCATACTGCTTTTTTCTACGACCAGTTAACTGTAGGCATAAATATGCGCGAAACAATGTAAGATTACAGTTTACACATGTGCCTTGGAAGGAGCAGCAATCTTCTAGTGCCCATTTTCATCAATATCTTCTAGTCACATGATAGATGTTCGGTATTAATGTTAACTTGAAATAGATGCTTGTCTTTACAGAATCGTGAGAGGACGATCACCGCTGTGGGTTTGTCAGAATGGGACATCATCGATACCTTCAGTACATTTTCCGGACTTGTTCAGCCTTACTACTCGATCATTAAAATACCTGCTAAAATCAGTATGTCCGAACGTTTTGCATTCAACAGCAAGCTAGAAGCCTTTTGACAAAACTAATGTTAAACTTCATCAAAACTGCAGTCGGTTGATGCGTAGGTGAGTATTACAAAAAGACATTGGTGATTGTCAAAGGGTTTCCTTATTTTGATAGACTCGCTAACTGGGATAAAGACATTTAGTGATTTTTTTTATCTCCATACTACCCCTAACACCAACAAGTTCAAGAGAAATAGCCAAAAGATCTCTTAACTAGACTCGCGTCATTTTACGCACGTCTAGCAGGAAGCCATTGAAAGTTCATAAGTGTTAACCAGCACTCGTGTAAATACCTAGCAACTGATACAATTCGTGATGAGGTTAGTATCCTAACTATGGATACTGAGGAAGTAGAATTATTGATAGAACAACAGAAGAAATTGATGAAGACGACTCTGCCAAAACCAATACACCATCAAGAGATATAGTTGCATAAAACATTATCAAATTTGGCCACGATAGAAGCGCAAATGCTACTTTGGGTGTATGATTTCGACCGCATGAAAGTTTATTTAAAATAAATTTCACCACGCAGGATGATCCTTGGAAGGTAACTCTGCATCCAGCTAAATATGAATATTACTGTAATTTAAACTTCTCTCAAAGCCTACATGGTGGAAATTTTGATGACACAGTTAAGCGGCAGTTCCACATAAAGCAAGTTGCAATTTTAGTCCAATTAGCTCCGACACCCCTGCACTACGGCAGACTAAGAGGTGATCCCTATCATCCAGATATGAACCCATATATTAACAATATGCATCTTCAACCTATCTTGATCTGCTTCTCCATGTTTGTGGCGTATTACTCTCTCGGCTATTCCTCTGCACTACCACAGTCACCCCCCACCCTCCTGCTCATCACTTCCCAGTCCACAACTCAACATCTGACCTACAGTATCGAGGCAGCGAAGGCACCTCTCGGTGAAAGTCTGCAGTAGCCAGTTCCAAATACTTTGAGTTACGCCCAAGACAAATCTCTCAACAACATAGGGGCACTCACTTTGCGTTCATCCTACAAATTCTCACTTTGTTCCTTGTACTGAATATTGTAGACGTCCACACCGATTTCAGACTAATGTATACCTGTCTTATTTTGATACTCTCATCAGTGCCTTCTATATTTGAAATGATCGGTGCAGTCTAGGTAGTTGCAAGAGACGAATTCCTGCAGACGTCCATCGATGGTGGTTGGTATTTGTTGTTGGTAGAGGTATTTTCATCATCTTTGTTGTCTCTAAGCTCACTTGAACTGCCTTTTTTGACAAATTGTTGGTTTTTGAGACAGAGATCATTTGCGAAATCCAGAACTTTTCAGGCCTTTTTGCAAGTTCAACGTAAATCCATAATCTCAACCCACATGAACGGTCTTTCGTACGATCCAGTCTATCACAATCAGGAAGGTCATCGGTAATGGTAGGTAGTCTTGTCTTACTCCTGCCTTCACTCTAAACGCTTTCGAGAGTTTCCTGTTGTGAATCACTTGGTGTGCGGCTTCACCATACAGCTGTTGAATGAGGTTTATGAATATTTACAGTCCTGAACTCTGCAGTGCTACTGCTAATATTGTGCAGCATTGCGTTTCACAAAAACGTATCAACAGATATAACCGTTGCCGAAACCATAGCACATCCGGTCGCAATGAAAGTTACTGACAGCAATCAAAAAAATATTTAGATTTCGGGTAAAATTTAGTCCCAAACCAGTTGGCAAGTCCACGAGTCCATGGACATTACGTTATTTTGCAACACCAAACGGATACAAGTATCTTAACCTTCAGGTAAATGGTCATAATGCACGATTACAGTTGAAAACTACATCTGATATTACCACCATTTCAAAGAAATTTGTAATGATATAGTCAGTCCTGCTACTAAAGTTACTTCCCAAACGGTTGTAAGCAACTGTAGTTGGCTATTTAAACTATCTGGTCAATTTCAATGTTATGTGTTTTTCCGTGAGATCAAAATCGAGAGCATTTGTTGTCATCCGAAGTAAAAAATCTTTAGTCACTTGATTGGTCCAACCGCCTACAACTGGCTGACATCTCACATAAATCTGTCTTTAAATATGTCAGGCATACCCGAAAGCCAGATAACTTTTGCCCTAACCTGTGCAAAAAGCTTGCATCTGTTTTCTATTTGGCTGAACTACCGTACTGGGTGTCAACCATCTTTTAAACAATGCTAGACTAGTGTTATACACAAGCAGGCTTGTTCTATATAGGTCCATAGCAAAAGTGGAAGGGGAATTACAGCTCTTAAAGCACCAAGGTACATTAAAACCGGTCAAGTGTTTAGCCCGGGGGTATCAGCAAATGTTTTGTGAGAATTTTTCGACTGGCTTGAATGCTATAGTAAAATAGTACCATTTTCCTCACCCTGTCCCAAATGGTTTATTCATCTTTCTAAATAATGGCTAATATAGTGGAAAATTAAAACTTGGTGACGCATATCTCCAGAAACTGAGAAGTTTTAATCATTAATATGTATCGGAGTTTATTGTAATGCAACAGTACTAGCTTTTTGGATTAAAACTCCTCCAGCTACTTTCTAATAGTTGATGAATACTACTTTAGCTGTGATGGTTTCCACAAGGCGATCAATCATGCATAAAGAACATTGACCTCAGCAGCGAAAAAAAGAGGAAATTAGAAGAGTAGCTTTAGTATTTAATGTGAGATGTTCTCACAAAATGATTTAAGGAGGTTGAATTACCACCTAACGGAACCTAAACTGCTGCTTTAAATTTTCGACTTTAACTCCGGCACTGATGATAATGCAGCCATCGACTGCAACATTAGGCAGTCATCACTCTAGGCTAAAATTTCGACGTTCAATGGAACCGAACGAATGCTTTTGAATAAGGTAAAGCGCTGTTCCACTTAACTATTGACCATTTATTTCCCCTAAAGCTACTGTAACTGCGGTAATCGCCCGCAAAGAAAACGAGGTTCAGTTAATTTATAGCGCTGTTCGAAACCTAAAGTATCACGAGCAGTAGTAATTTCCTACAACGTGTGATTCTGTACGTACCGAATAGCCGGCTCAATATTCGTTTCAGTAGAGATTTACAATATCTGTTTGCTCTCTTGAGTGTTGGACAAGACTGCCTAATTTTTGGCTGATGTATAGAAGCGGTAGCACGGTAGTTCCTCGAGGAACATGCCCTCCAGCCAGTATAGTTCGTTGCGGCTGACAAACACGCAGAGGTAGCAGTTCTTCCCATGTGATTCCAGATTATTACCAAGAGCAGAAGTGGCGTGTTAAAACGAACCCACATCAGCTCAACTTTATCGGGTGATCACTTATCTGAATTTTCAGGTATACACCAAGGTTAGCAAATAGTGAACTGTGTGGAATTTTCCGGTATCACACTCATGACACATATTTGAATAACCTGAGAAGGTTTCTTAAGATCATATTTATTGAAAGACATCCTAAGATATTTCAGATCTTAGGATTTCTTATAAGATTCAATCAATCTCATGCAAGGAATTCAATGAAAACAAAGATAACAAAACAAAAGTTCGCTAAATAATATCTTTAACTCAAGCGAAGAGAAGACCTGCACGATCCGCGAAGTGTTGTAAATCTGGTGACTTCGTAAGTGACGCTAAGTTTCACATACAACTTTGGTTTTTCATATATGATTAGAAACGCGTCGGTGGCATAGCGGTTAGGACGCTCGCCGACCATGCACATGGATTGGGGTTCGATCCCCGGCCGACGCACTCCTTTACCTCGCTAAGCCAGAAATAATGCTGGTGAAGAGGAAAGGCTGGGCATGAGGCTAGCAACCCAATCCTGTAAAATAAGCACTGCTACAGAAACTTCAAGCCACAAGTTTGAAGCCCTATGTTCCACTGGGGAACGTGAAGGAAAAAAAAATATGATTAGAGGTCTCATTCATCATGCCCCTATTCGATTATGTCTAAACCAATCCACTCGCAAAAAGCATATTTTTAGGCGTGTAACAATAATAAAATCAAAATACGTTAGGAAACAATGGGGATATGTTACATTTTTCATCTGTTTTTAAGAACTGAAAAATAGACAAACCAAAAAATTATCACTTTATTCAGAAAGATTTTAAACAAAACTATCAAGTATAACTTACCCCATGGGCGAACTGCGAAATGTTTTCCAAGAAATACGTTATTTTTAAGCATTATAATAAGTGGCCAATTAAATGGTTGTTTCTTGAAACGAATGAATACATTTCTATCAAATAAAATAAATTACTGGTTTGTTGACTATCTTTAATATAATGACAAAAATTTAAGTGTAAATTATATGATAGAAGTCAAGCATAAGTTTATAGACGACATAATTATACGATGAACAGAAATGCGACTGTTTTAGCATACTGGTGGTAAGAAAAAGTACTGAGGAATAGTAGCACTGTAAATACTTCACTGAATTGACATCAGAGAAATACTGCTGGTTTAGTTATAGAGGGAATTGCTTCAATAGAGTACAGGTTACAGATCAACTATGGATATGCAGTCCTAGAGGCAGGATAATTAAAATAACACAATATATGAACGAAATATACCAATATTGCGTCATAAGGAAAAGAAGTAAACAGCGAAGAAAATTTTCTTTTCGACGATTCATCTTCATAAGCTGTACACTCGTAATTATTTTTAACACAGAAATCATAAGACCGATCAGATACTGGTAAAATTTGTCCTCGAAGAACGTATTACGCAATGTGGAGTGTGACCTAGAAAGGGTGACTAATTGGAAGTTAGAAAAGAGACAGAAGTTGGCATGGCGTAATAAGTGTGAGAAAATGACTGATCAATATGATTGTGTAGAATGGACAGGAACTAGTGGAAAGACGATAAAGTGTTTATATGTATATATATATACATATATATATATATATAAGTGTTTATATATATATACTAAGCAGTTTGACTCAGATTAGGAATATACCGAAAAGCAAGTATCGTCAAATCAGTAGAGCCAGCACGATGCTACACAACGCTTTCAGACTGTTGTGCAAGTTTCCCATCTGGAACTGAAGTATTTTTCAGATAAGGAGGTTAAATTTCGATCATACACATGTCTTAAATAAACAGCGTTCCGGCTGTTGCATATTTTACTGTAATTCTCAAAGGTATTTAGGGTAATGAGTATAAACACTATCGACATATACACGAGGTTTACTGGACTAAGTGTCGAGGTACTAGTTCACACTTTAAGAGAATTAGAACCTCACTATATCTGTCTAGGTCGAGAAAACCAGATTTGTGACCGCCAACAGATAACAGGAATAGCAACATTATTCACAATCTTCAGTTCACTAAATGAACTACATAACAAAGCTAAGAAGCTTATTCACAACTGCTGCTGAGAAACATTAAGATTCCACTATGGATAAGATTTCATTTTGATAAATCATATCAAATTGATATGATTATATGATTATGAGCGATAGTTTGTGCTCGAAACGTCATCAGTTAATATTACTGTATAACACTGTGTGATTCATCAAAATAAAATCGTATCTATAATGGAGTTATACTCTATCACAATGCCCAAGTTTTATACTTATATCAAGCATTAAGATTGCTAACAGATTTCTTATAAAAGATAGTTTTGACAGTCATAAGGATTAACAGCTGACAGTACTTTTACTAACCTAGTGTTTTTTGAATCATTATTAGACACTGAACGATATTCAACTAAAGAACCTTTAGGAAAATGTTCACGGATTTTATCATCATCAATCTCCTTGGAAACTTGAAGAAGTTTAATTCCACAAACACCTTGTATATCATCGGCTCCAGATAATTCATAGTGAAGTGTTGATTGGGCGCCGACAACTGCTTTTATAGTTTGACCACCAATCATTCTATGACGGCATGATTCAAATACATCTTCGAGATCTTCAGAACATTGAAATTTTAACAAACATGAGCTGAAAATTTCACGAAGGGGAAACACATCAGTACAAAATAAAGAATAGTGTATTACGAATAAATACGGCAAAGATAAAGAGGCAACATTTGACACATGAGAGATAATGATGATGATACTAATGCCAAGTATCAAAAATTTAAAGGTACAGATTGAATGACTTACGACTTTTTCTATTCACTAATCTCCGTGAAAAAGCATGAGCAGGGCATTTCATCATCGCATCTACTGACCCACGATAAACATAGACAATATGCAGAGCATTACGTCTATGGTATAGGATTTCAGTACCCCTGCCACCATCATCTGTTTTTAATGTCACACAACCTGTTGAAGTGAGTTTAACGAGATTCAGACCAGGAATTGTGAGGACGCCTATACACTTGGTGATCGACTACATATTTAAGCGTGATGCGAGTATCCCACCTAACTGCACAAATAATGATGGGTGGATAGTTATTTCAATCGCACAGCTTAATAATTGAAAGTTAAGTGCATAGACCAACTAACCATAGTTCCTCTGTTTAAGCATAGGAAATAATTGGCTCCAGTGCTTCCACAGACTTATTCGGAAATGAATTTAGCAGCTCTGTCGAGAAGTATAACCACCTAAATAAGTGCTCAAACAACTAATCATTTTATAATATTTAAGACGATCAATCCCGCAAAAAGAAACCACTTTTATGACTTAATGTTTAATTCTGTCTGAATTCAATACAAGCCCATCAGAATCTATTCGCCTAGTTGAAATCCAGTAGCTAACCATTTCTAAATGCTTCAGGTCTGATAAGCAACAGTTGGCCTAAATTACCAGTTAGAAGTCAAATTTTAACCTATCCAGTACCTGAATAGTAATGTAATCACTTTAATCCCTGAAAGAACGATTTTTTCTCATTCCTTTGCGTTCTGGGTGAAACATAAGCCTTCTTGTGTTGCATTTACGAGGTGAAGTCGCTCTTTCCTGGGTTTACTACCCGCTAGTATAAACTACGCGAAGTTTGTCAGATAAACATGATAAGGTGGCATTATTGAAGAATCCCGAAAGAAGGACAAAACAATTCCCAGTTCTTTGGTTTTTATTGGGTTTTCTAAGTGATGTCAAACTCTGGAGATGGAAGAAAGAGAAGAAGAATTGCTGTTTTAAGATGAGTATAGTCTCCACTATATAGTACCGAAAGGTAGATTGAAATGATAGGTATTATTTTACCTTCAGTGTATCACACCAAAACTTTTCTTACTGTTTGGAGCAATATTACCAAGCAAATACTGTTTGTTCTGAATAGATAAGACTTTAGTACTGCCTTTTTGGATTAATTTTGAGTCAGAAACCTTAAATTGTCAATCCTCATAAAATGCGAGTAAAAATGGTCATATAGATGAGAAATAGTCTGAGATCGTTATATATTCATCTAAATGTCCACTTTAATCAATTGAAGAGTAAAGTGACAAAACGCCGACATTTTCTCAGAAAATTGAATACCTGCCACAAAAATAGCCAATATGCGAAATTTGAATTTCTCTTAATTCAGCCAACATGTAATATGCGAAATAGCCTAAAAGAATGTCTACTAACTATACAAATATAAAGACCCGAATAAATCAACTCATTAATCATTATGATTAGGAATGTTACAGAAAATACAAGACACGAAGATCAAGAGCGAATTAGTAGCACGTGTAGGGAATAGTTAACAAGATTTCATCCCTTATCTCTTCAGAAATAACATTATTTATCACCTTTTACTTGTGTTTCAAGTAGGACATAGGGCATCAAAACCACATCTCCATTTCACACAACTCTCTGTCATCCCTTTCACCTGGCTCCGAGACTTCACACAAGCTTCCATTTCGTCTTTACACGATCTCTTTCACATCACTATCGGACTTCCGACGCGTCGCTTCACACTTGCTTTTCACACAACGACTTAATATGTGATGTCATCCAACAGTCCACCAACTGTGTCCAATCCATCTTTAACTCCTTCTCCGTGGTTGTGGCGTATTACTCTGTCGGCTATTCCTCCATACTACCACAATCACCCCAACCCTCCTGCTCATCACTTCCCAGTCCACAACTCAACATCTGACCTTCAGTATCGAGGCAGCGAAGGCACCTCTCGGTGAAAATCTGCAGTAGCCCGTCCCAAATACTTTGAGTTACGCCCAAAACAAGTCTCTCAACAACATAGGGGCACTCACTTTGCGTTAGTCCTACAAATTCTCACTTTGTTCCTTGTACTGAATATTGTAGACGTGCACACCGATTTCAGACTAATGTATGCCTGTCTTATTTTGATACCCTCATCAGTGCCTTCTGTATTTGAAATGATCGGCACAGTCTATGGATTGGAAGGTGACGAATTCCTGTAGACTCCCATCGATGGTGGGTAGTGTTTATTTGACAATGACAGTTCTATCGGAATTTAACAATGAAATCCCTTGGACTCAAATTAGATGATTTTGATCTCAACTTTGGGAACCATACGAGTATTCTTCATTTCTGTGGATGAATTTATTAGGAATGAAATATCCTGCCGTAAATTTACCTCTTCAGCGCAAACTTCAATTTGACTTCAAACTGAAGTATGCGCTGAAGATGTTGCCTGGTAGGGCAATGAAAGCTTCGCAAATTAACTATTCACTTCAGAGAACACAACCACATCATAATCATCCACCTGAGCTACAAATCTTCATCATATCTACATTATATTCTATTCAGATGATTATTCTGGAAAAAATGTAATCTTCCTAACGCTCTGAGAAAAACTTGAATATGTTTGACATTAACCTCATCCTCGTCAAACGTAAGTTAATTTTACAGGATTGATCTACACAAACTTCTAGTTAAAGAAAGGATAATGAATTGGTCCAATGTGATGACCACTTCTATTATTTAGGAAGCTTCATTAGCACGTATACAAAAGACTCACTGAGCATTGGCCATTCGTCATCTTTGTCACCCGGAGAGATACCCGATTACCGATTAAACAGCATACGCACTGATCACTAGTTCATTCAGTCCTCATTTACGGCTATGAAGCATAGCTGATGAAAGTGGAGAACAGAAAAACACCAGAAGGTTTCTAACGGTATGTGCATTCATTCAACTGCTTGCGTTAAATGGAGCAATATGGTAGTTATGCTAAGCGTAAAGCATTAAAGTCGACGATTTGGTGAATTCCCATCGATTGAGGTAACCAAGACAGACGTTATGCATGCTGGCGACTGTCCTTATAGAAAAACAATGTTAGTTGCAAAATAATTCGAGGTAGTAAGAAATCTACGAATACATCTACTTTTATTAGTAAGTTAGATACCTTAGATTTATTCCATCTCAGATTTTGGCGGTCATGTTGCTGAGATGCCGTAAATTAGTTCTAAATACAATTCTATACCTTTTAGTTTACAGTGGTTCCCTCAATGATTTCAATGGGTAGTCAATCACATCGGTAACCTCATTCGAGTAATTATTTATTCCTGATGAATAATAAATCCAAAGAATTTAACAGCATATTAGTAAATTGAACAGTACCGCTATTCATGAAATTTTTTTTTGCGTATACTTCATGCAAATAATTAACTGATGAAGCTCAAGTGAAACACCAGTACTAAACTTGAGAAAAAATAACGACTCACTTTTTCCCTACTCATCAAATGAGAAGTAAGATTGTAACAACAGAAGGCAAGACACGGAAGCCAAGATTTATTTTCCATTGATCGAACCGCTGTCTTTATATATCTACGGTTCATATTCGTTAAACAATCACTGAGCGTGTGATTTCGGTTTGCCTCAAACGACATCAAATAGAATGTTCAAATAGATATATCGTATTCTGTTGCTAATGCTGAATTGAACTGTGGGAATATGTGAGAATAATATTCCGTTGGAACACATTGTCTATATATCACAAGTTGATTCAAATATATTCAAGAGAAATTCATCACTAGATATGAAGTTAAGTTGATACCCAATCCGCACTAAGGTGATTCAGTGGCTAACGAAATTAAACCCCTGGACTATTTCGACGTGGATAACCAAAATGTATCGTGGGCCCATGTCTTAGTAAACGAACATGAGTAAGGTTGCTTAGTCGCAATAACTTTAGGTACTGCAGATCACTTTATGAATAATAAAGTTTAAAACTAAACGTTATAAGTTTCAATTAAAAAATGAGATTAAACATTTTCTGAATAACCAACGATTTCGAGTTTCAAAATAATCTGATAAAATATGATATTTCAGAAAGTGACAGTTGGTCATTATCGATAAGATAGGATTCTGTTTTATTTTGAAGCCACTCGGCAATACACCACAATGACTATTCACAGAGCTGGATCTCTGTATTACTTCAAACAAATACATCATTCACATGTTACATATGCAAAGACTTAATTAGTTTCGAGGTAGGTATTTTTATCAACGGGCATTACATGAAAAACGAATTAACAATAAGAAGTAATTAACAGCTATTTTACCCCCACCTTGTGTTTCTTGAGCACTGGAAAATAGCACCACATGAAATGTGGCGACAATAAGCGCCACGCTTCGTAACAGACACACTACCATTAAGCGACTGGGTTGGTGAACATTCAGACACTCATGAATTCTAACTTCAACCAATAACTCAATTTCTTGATTAAATCAGTGGACTAACAGATTTCCTATGGAATCATGGGTATTTTGTTTCACATTATCTTAGTCATAAGTCATATTATGCGCAGCTGTCACGCTAAATGTGCTCATGAACCAAAACATGAATGGGATGCAAACATCCTCCAACTGTGACTGAGGCTGCGAAACCTGTCTCTAATGATAAAAGGAGGTAAAGCAGCTGGACCCGACGGAACGGTTCCAAAGGTTTTTAAGAACAGTGATGATGAGCTGTTCTCTGAGTTAGCTAAGACATTACGTAATGTGTAGGAAGAAGAGATACTCTAGTTTGACTGATATAAATCATTGGTTATCCCAGTTTTTAAGACGGGAGAAAAGTCTTCCTGTGATAATCTTCGAGAGATTAGCTTGACAGGAATGTTGGACATGCAAAAAGACTCTAGAAGTTCCATATTAGTTTGTTTATTGTTCATAATCATATCGATTCATATGATTATGTAATATGTAATCACTTACTACCACAGTGCCCAAGCTTTACACATATATTAAGACTCTAGAAGATTTAAACTTAGAGGATGATTTATGGCTAGTGTCACACTCGTCTAATCATAGCATTTTCAATAGGCTTCAGCTTTAATCAACAGCTGCCTTCACCCCATACTGAAAATCAAATTGCTATAAAGGATTAGCAACAAGGAACACTGGAAACGAACCAACCATGAAACTATCGCCCAATAACTATGCAGAAGAAGATAGAGGTAAGTTGAACACATACTGAAAAGACCGTTGAGTGACATCACGCGCCACGCCCTCGCGTGGAACCCGAATGGGAAACGATGAGCTGAACGTCCAATAGTGACTTAGAGGAGATAGTATGTTCAGGGAATGAAACCTTATAGGCAGTCGTGGGCCCAGTTAAACAGGACTGCTGAGAACAGAGTGAAATGGAGATGTACTGCTTAAGCCCTGTGTTCCATTCGGAACTTGGGGGAATAATAATAATAATAGCAGTAATAATAACATAATATCTAAAATTCTCACTTCTATGTGTGATGCCTCCACTTTGGTTTTATTTCTTCATTAAATATACTAAAGGATGTGATCCTTAGTGACTTAGGGATTGACTTGTTACCTGGACGATGCTAACAAAATGTAGAGCCTTCTAAACACCTTAAGCAAAAATCTTTGAATGCTCAGGCATGGGATTCACTCCTGTCTAATACAAGACAATGCTGCAGGACATGCATATGTACTCTTAGGCCATGAATTACTTAGTGTGTGATACCTTATAGGACTATTTGACTGCCAAAATCCAAGTAAGAGTCCAAGCCTGCGATTCAGTGGCTGAAACCTCATAGTTTCAATGTCACTCATAACTCTATAAGCAGTGGTCAGGCTTAGAGGTCAGGCTGTTAGTTTCTTTTGTTTAACATACAGAATAATGTATGTCGCCTAATGAGCAAATTGGGAAAGTTGAACGTCAATATGATTATAACATACCAACAAAAATAGATAATCTTGATGTGATTCTACGAAAATCCATTCAAACAAAAAATATTGTTATAAAAAACAACTCACCGGTTTCCTATATCCCATAAATCTACTCTCAGTTTTATAGATACTGCTGTGGGGAATTCTTTTTTGAGCTGAGATAGAGTAATTGTTTTTGGTAAATCTTGAATAGTTAACTCAACATTTTCTGGCTCAATTTTACATTTATCATTAGATTGTGGATAAAAAGATGATATCACTGGCTACAGAAAACAATGAAACAAAGTAAAATTTCACTAAAGACAGTATGAAAATAATATTCAAAATATTTTACTTTATTCATCTTAGCCTAGGTGTCATACATAAGTCAAATGAAACTAATGGTATATAGTCCTAGGATCATAAGAAAATAGTGTTGTCCTGTTGCCAAAATGTTGTTAGATAAAGCAGAACGCGAGTTTATGACTAAGTGTACCTGAAAGTTCAGTACCTAGACTGAGTTACAGTCCCAGATACATAAATATCACAGAAACGTTAAGAAACTAACCGAAGACACCTTTTTTGCGAACAAAATGCTATCATGGAATAAAAAGTGTAAAAGTACGATTATGATCCGACTTTGCCAGTTCATTCCCACGACTTTAGTTTGCATTTTTTAAGTCATCATATAAGACTTCGGGGTTAATTCGATAAGTACTAATCATCTAATCAGTTTTATGAGATACTTAGTATGGTGAATGGAATAACGAAGAACTTATGTTTAATGTGAGTAAACTGAATATGGGAAAAATGCTGAGAAAGTATATCGCAAAAATCAAGGCAGTCTACTAGAACCCACGCAGCCGTGTAAGAGGTTGTGAAGAGTTATCATCTGAAGTGAGGTCAATCAAAGGTGTCTTTGTCAGGGACACACACCTTCCCCATATTTGTTTAATTTTATCATAGGTGTACAAATAGAATTGACGCTAACTGATTCTAGTGACCTTCGGATTGACCTGTTACTAGGGAAAAGTCTCGTTGATAAAATGAAGTCATCCGAACGCCTTGAGCAGAAATTTCTGAATGTTTGGTATGCGCTTCGCACCTGTAAAATGTAAAATGATGCTGCAAGACTGGAATGCATACGACTCCTAGTTTAAAGATAGGGAGGGCGTGTTGATAACACGCATTCACTCTCTGTAATCTCCCATACCTATTAAACTGTTTTTCCATGTTACTATTCTTTCTACCTCGCACTTCCCCTTATTATGGTCCTTCTGAGTTTCTTATTTACTCTTTTTTTGTCTACCTTTGTGTGCTACATGGAGTGTGACAACTTCAACTACTGCAATTCTGTGTTAGTTCTTACGTTGAAACTCAGTCAGTCACTCTGAAGCATTGAAGCCATCTGCAAAACGACTATGTCTGAGTGTGCTGCTTAAGCAGAAAACTAGACAGCTTTCGATAAAACTCATCTTTGATTTCGTCTGAACTGCAACCGATTAGGGATTATATGGAGATTATGAGAAGACATTGACGGGTATCGCGGTCTTTACTTTTTCCAACGGATCCGTGCAGACGGGCAGCACACTAACGGCTACTCACTGGGATCCAGACATGTGGGGAATTTTTCGCCCTAACACTCAATGCTATCCATATACCTGCGAGCCCTCGTAAACTAGCCAAAGAATCTCCCGACATGAGTTAGATGAATTTTGCAGATTTACTCTGTTGGCCAGATGAGGTGAATAACCACACTTGGGTTTCTTCACGTGTCTCTGAAATACATCACACATCCATGAATCGAGATGCCAAAGTTCTGGCTAGTAATCTCTGCTGTCCGATTTGGTATAGGGTCCTAACTTTAAATGCTCCAATACGAAGTTGACAGCCTGACTTCGAAAGAGTATCAGAAGTGTTTTTCCTACTCTCATCGCTATTAATGGTCAAAGAGTTAGAAGAAGATGAGGGAACCACCTGTGGAGTAGTATTAACGACAGGAAGAAAGCAAGATGACGTAGATAAAAGTAGGTTTGTTTTTGGAAGTGTGTGGGCGGTGATTACTCTTCGGCTGCCCACACCGTGGTAGTTGATTATTTTCTTTTGGGTCCCTGAAGTAGAAAAAGCATTAGTTTTACGTGACTGTAGAAACATAGGACAACTGTCGGTGACACACGGCCTGTTCCAAGTGGCTTTTCAAGTTGTGTGCGTTTCGGAACGCCACAACGTAAGTAAGGATGTTCGATTTTCTGGTTTGACTATTTTTAACTACCTCACTCTAAAGAGGGGAGGCAACTTTTCTGGGTTCCTAGTCGTGGGAGGGAAACATATCCCTATCCGCCAGTAGCCCGACTGCGCCCACAAAGACCTAACATAGTGTGAGTGACTTGCACAACGATACTAAGTGCTTCAAGTCTAACCACTATATAAACGAGCTTCCTGGCATGGTAGGATCTTCAGGAAAATTAGTTCCAACCAGTGTAGCTCGTTGGGTCGTTGCAATATACAAATTCAACCACCAAGTTAAGGTGGCAGCTATCAGTAGGGATTCAGAGAATCACGAAGTCTGAATTTAAAGAACATAACATAAACATTTAGAAAAAAGATGCGTATTAGTTTGTTTATTAGATATATCACACAGTGGAACAGTAATATTTAGTGGATGACGTTTCGAATAAAATTTATTGTTCATAATCATATCAATTATAATCACAACTTTGAAACCACAATGCACAAGTTTTACACAAATATTAGAAAAAAGATCCTTAGCATTTCATTGGGAAGATTTCAAATATACAACAGCTTTGAGAATTTATACATTGATTTGTTAACATTATGCTAAATATTACAGAATAACTGACCAAATAACTTAAAAACATAACAGTATCACAATAGGACAACTGTAAAATATGTTTCGATTCTTAGAATCTCATTTTAAGCCGTTTTCATAAGGTAAAAGTCGAGGAACACTGAGCAACAACACCACCATAACATTGCGTATGGGATGAGAAGTAGACAGTTGCTGAATACTGACATCGTCATGCACAACAAACAGGTGAAACATTCTACAAACATATCAACGGGAATTCCCACTGCTGAAATTCCACCTCCATATCATTTAAGTCAATATTCTACAAATCTTTCAATAAGCATTGATAAACTTTTCTCTGTTAACGTGCAGGTGACTCTTATATTGAATAGATTAAGATGAATAGTACAGTATCCTGTGAGTAGACTACACTCTCATAACGTAGAAACTGTATTCTAATGCCTACTTTTTTCTATCCCTCCCCGTATTTCAATAAATTTATTTATTCTGCTTATTTTTGATCTAAATCTTGTACAGACCATCGGCCACAAGATCAAAACAAAGTGTTTGGAAGATACAAGTGACTATGAATTGGAGATGCAACAGAATGTTAGCCGAAAGTGTTTATCCAGATAACGATATAGAGTGATATCGCAAAACCAAGTAGAAATGTTACATTTGTGCACAAAACGCTAATTTTACTGATAGCAGAATTTAGATGTGACCTGTTTGGGGAAATATGAATCAAGTGAATATCAATTAATATTGTCAACATGATGGGTTGGGATATCGGTTATGGAGCGATAAGTGCCACGGATACCCAATTCTCGCATTTATCAATCCCAATGCTGTTCATGGGCCAACTATTTCGTCTTAACTTCCAATAAATGTATTGACCATACTTGGAAACATCTACTAGTGACACTGAAAACAGGTAGTGCGGAAGCCTCTGGTCGCTCAATATTAACCTGTCTACCCAAACATATGCATCATTTTCTAGTATCTTATTGGCATAGGTGAAGAAGTGGGAAATGGAAAACCCTGAACTGTGTATACAGAAGCAGTTTATCCAGTCTCTTTTACTACCGTGGCCTTAAACTTCTCCTTCTTTAACTTATTCAATAATTTAGTATATACTTTATATTCATTCGGCATTTTTCCTCTAATTCTTTCCCTTCAAACTCCCAACTTCATAAAAATACTGAACCTCTTACTTCTTTTGGACAATATTCTTGTTACCAATTGCTCGTAGCTTTATTAGTAATCATTTCTGAGTGATTTGTAGTTTATCTTTGTTGATATGCAATCAAAATCGTTTTCCATTATGGAATTCACTATCACTTGTAGTCATTCAATGCGACAGAAATCCTATGGAAAATTAATTATGTCATAGTGATTATGGTTACAGCAAATATGCTATTATACATTCATTTAAGTTGATAAATTTATGAGGACTGTTCCAAGTTCATGACGATATATATATATATATATACAACAGAATACCCGCGAACAGTTGAATTTGAGCATTATTAGTCTCTCCTAAAGACTTGGAAAACACACTATTACTTAAGTCTATTCATTAATTATATACATTAATTCTTCCACTGATAAGTATGAATGCACAGACGCAAGACTCGAGGGAGCTTTGCAAACAGTATCACTTATTTATCAGTCACTTTGTTTGATGAGTAAAAGCTACGTTTTCGTATAAAAAACAATTAACATTTTTCAAGACTATTACCTTGATACCATTAAAATTAGTTCTTCTTAGACGACATAATGCATCAACATAGCCTTTGTGCGTAGAAAATGTGATGAGAGCTTTAAATGAATCTGTTCGTTTGCGCAGAACCAATGTTTTAGCTGATGGGACAATTTTTCTGAGCGTATCTTCATCCATATTTGCTGGTAACTTTCTTACCGCCACAGTTTGGATTATTTCATGTTCCTTCGTTTGACTAGTCCGAGCCATGACTGTCAAAGGAATGGTTTTTCCTGATAAAAAAATTACTAGTTTAATTTACGGAACACTGTTGAGGACTGGTTCACATTTTATTTTATTTTTACAACACAGTGACTTTCACCTGCAATTCAAGTATAAATATGTACCGGCGCAAAAAAAAAAACATTGAATGCAGTCGCTTTAACGCAAATTCTAACTAAAAATAATATAGCTATTATGTTCAAATTACGGCTGAGCACTTAGTATACCGAAACGTTTGATTCTACATATATAGCAGACGATCACCAGGAATCAGGATTTTCATTACTGTAGATCCAAACGATCCATTTTCCATTGAATAAACGACTGAAATGCAACTTGATGGTTTGAAAGTTGAAGATTTTACATTTAAGTGGATTTACTATTATGAGAACGGATACTACGCCGTTAACATAACCCAGAGCCGATAAGTAAAACATGCAGTTCTAGTTCTACTTAACACAAGCACAATAAAATTCGGAACTTGGGTTGGCACATATTACGAACATGACCCAGAAGCCATGTGAATATATATATATATATATATATATATATATATGAGTACTAAACAACGTTTGTGAATTGCGTAACAATATGATAATACAATCTTTTGCTAGATGTTGAAATTAGAGACATTGCACATGACTTTGGTTTAAATTTCATTCATTCTGAGATACAGATAACTCCTGAAATACAGTGTACTGTTGGTCGCTTCGCCTTCTCACTGGTGTATACTGTCTACTCGCTCCACTCATAACCGTGTTGTATACTTTGGATTTATTGCAGAAACCTATTATCTTCATCCGAAGACAACCCTACAACCGGTACACAGCTTCTACCAGTAGACACGATTCCAGCAGTAAACGCTCCTGTGGATTATATTAATAATTTGTAGCCATGAACTTTAGCTGTATATTCAAGTAACCGTTTAATTAACATAACTCATTACTGTATTTTTTACAATATATTGTTACACTATCATCTCACTAACTTGGATTTTTATTCGTATACTTGATATGTCATTGAGCTCGCTAGACAGTCCTCTACACATATATTCCTAGTGTTAACAATATGAAGTGACTTCCGAGGTGAGTACTAGGTGAGAGAAAAACATAAGCCAAATTATTGACAGACAGCCTAATGCTTCATGCATCGTCATGAGTACCCGGAAAAAATGTTAGGGAAAATGCAACATTTTTCGTTAAGTGCTAGTAGTCACAGTTGTATTCTTATATCTGGAAAAATTCTCCGACTGGGCCACAATGGAGTAGTGAAACATGGACAGGAGTGAAAATAATAACAAAAATCACAACACAAACGGACCAACCAATTTATCACAATGAATGGATGCCGCTGCCGTCTTAAACCCATATAAGAAAGACAGCTGACACCAACTGTCTTTTCGGAGGGAGGCTGAGCAACTGAAGGTCACTTGAGCACACTGTGATTGGTACGTTTTAGTCCGCATAAAAATCGCGGCAAATACGTGCAACAATATACAAACTGTTATGGATAGAGTACTTAACACTGTTTCTTTTCTCCCTTTCAGGAAAACACCCAGGGTGACTCTAAACTACAGCAGCCCAAGTAATGCAATGTTAAAGAAAGGGTATTTAGGATAATATTCCTGTATATGTTCCAAGAAAACCTCCTAATTTCTCACAGGAGTTCTCATAGTCAGGTTGAATCGATTTCTGTACACTAATTCGTCAAGGTCATCCATCTGTTCATTTGGTAGTTTCGTTCGGCGCTGCTATAGTTTACAGCCACCGACAATTTTGTTTGTGAGGCCTTGATCAACAGTACAGTGTATTTCAGGTTGTACTCGGAAGTTATCTGTATTTCAGAATGAATCGTTTTAAACCAAAGTCATGTGCAATGTCTCTAATTTCAACATCTAGCAAAAAAGTGTACAATTATATTATCACATAGTTAACCGACCATGCCAAAATGCAATCTGTTGCACTAGGGTTGTGTGAATGGCACCAATACTGAGAGAAGAACGGTGTCACTCAATGTTTTCCAGCTGTTCAAAATCTGGTGATTCCGAGAACTCTTATGATGGAACGCTGAACATCCGAATTGTATAAACAATTCTCTACATTAATACCACATTCTGCTAAACAAGTGGAATGGGCTGGGTTATATGGTGGACTCTGACTTTCTGAATATTATCACAACAGAAACATGCCTTACATTCAGTAAAGCTGAAATCAGGAACTTCACAGTATTTAGGGCAAACTGAGACAGCTACAGTGTAATCATCATTGCTATCTATCGCAGTCTCCACCTTCTAGTAGAGGAGACAGTTTCATGGACACCCAGATTCCCGAATCTCGTAGTTGGCGACTTTAATGACTCAACAGTCATGGGCGCAAACCCTTGCCAGAAAACCGACACAAACGCTATCGCCCAGGCGGCTGAAGCACAGGATTGGCACACAAAACTAAAATTCCGTGTGGAGGCGACTCAAGCAACTTTACAGTCTGGTAACTCAAACTCTCACCTTCATGTCCGTCCCCAAGTGTGGAAAACGATGTCCTCCTTGACTAAACTGAGAGGACTGAAGATTACTCAGGCGTGAACATAAAGGCTGAGACCAGACGCTGTCCTTCAAACTACAGGATTATCATTCTCACCGTCAATTTAATTAAGATGCTGGAAAGAATCATCAAGCCATAATGGTGTATCTGGGAAACAACAACCTATCCAGAGCATAGCATGGCTTCTGGGATAGTCTGTCACTCTTGGCAGACACCCATACAGCAAAAGAAGCCAGGTTAAACTAAGGGTCAGCAGAAAACCTGTAGATGCCGTTTTCACAGGTCCCAGTAACGTCTTCAGGAAAGTGTATCACACAAGTCTACTTATGACACCTGAGTCTTAGAATGAAGTGTGGCCTACTAAATAGGATCAGGTAATTCCTCATAGTTAGATGACAGATCCAAGGGATCAACTCCAAACCTTGTTCTAGGGCAACAATTCTTAGTTGAGTACCATAATAAACCGTACTTGGGCCCCTCCTATTCATCTTGCACATCAGTCAGTCAAATGCGCTTACCGAATCCACTGTGATCCTCTAAATTTATGGATTTCAAATTTGGATAGAGGTGAAGGGCGACAAAACCACGCCCGTATTGCATGGAGATCGCAGCAAGTTGCTAGAGTGCTGTCGGTTAACTTAGCGAAGTGAGCAACCATTCAACTTGAACGCACAAGCGTTGGCTCATACAAACCAAAGAGAATGACACTTATTTATGTTCAGGCACTAACGGATCTAGATTTCAAAATAAGTCACGGTTTTAAAACTACAAACCACTGTCGCGCGATGGCAGCTCAGTGCCAGATCTTCATGGGCAATTAAGACAACGTGCTGTAGAATCACCAGAGATGAGCTCAATTCTTTAGATCCGTCTTTGGTGACGTCATGCCTCAGAAACAATATTCAGGCAGCCACTACTTGTCTTAAGGGGAATAACACTTTCCGGAATAACTCTAAATTATTACTACGAACCCGGAATATTTCTTCTTTTCCCTCCCATCCGGCCGGAATACCTCAGAAGGCGGTAGGAGAGTTCAAATGCCAAGGAGGAACTGCATGATTGTGGAGGACTGGTTCTCACTTCTAGTCATAAATTCTTGGAACCGATTGCTGGATTAAGTGTTCCATCACCCTCAACTGACTCATTCAGGAAGGGTTTGAACAAGTGCAGAAATTTTTTAGAAACGCATAAACAGGCTTAAAACAACAAATCTGGACTCATTTCGTTTGCCTTCTACCAACATCTCGTGACACAGTTAACTTTCCATTTATCTGCGGGTTGATTGTTGGAGGAAACCTTCGAATGTCATCAGCAGCATTGTTATACCGCGTTCCAGCTGTCGAAGTGTTTGGGTCCACCGCTGAAACTTCGGGGCCAAAGACGTCTGATCTAAATCTGGAATTGTGACATGAAGTCCCGAAGTTTGCGTATCACTTTTATTGGTTCACCACAAAGATTCTGCAGCACACTACAAATATGCAGTGCCCTCGTAGTCAATGTTAGCTGGGATGTCACAAATTATATTGAAAACAAGCCAACAAGGATTTTCAGACTTCATTGTCTATGAAATCACAATATTACATCAGTTAAATCTTCTCCCAAAACCAAGGCCACTTGAAACCAATAGCAACATAGCGACAAGCGTCATTGAGGGGATATGCAATAAAGTCGCTCAGATTTTTATAAGCTTGTCACATGTTTAATTGAACATTGGCAGGTGGACTTTTCGGTTAACCAAGGTCAGAACACCTGAGTTCTCAGGTGTGATTTTTGTGGGTTTCAATTTTAATTGTGAACTACTGTAGAGGGACGGTTAGTTACTAACACTTATTACTTCCGAAAAAATTTCCTATTGGTATGCTTGATGCTACGCGATATAATACTTTGAAACTACTAGACGTCCTCCAATATTTTTCTAATAAGCTAATGTCAGGCGCATATTATCTGCTAACGATTCATTATAAGTTAATATATGTATTTACAGTAATCTTTGATATACAATATACTGTGTATTATGATACACTGCTGATAACTAGTAGTGGTTATCACAAGATAAGATTGATATTAAAAGGTAGTTGTATGTATAAAGTGTGAATAATTAAGAAACGGCTCTTATTCCTCATAGTACTAAATTAATTATTTAAGGTATTCAGTTCAAAACTTCTAAGACCTAGTAGTGTTTTGCAAATGTGAAATCCAGGGTCACTTTGTGGATTAGATAGTTTGTTTCTGACTACTTATTGGACATAATTATGTATTATATCATTATCACTACATAGAATCATGACTATTTATTTTATGGACTATTACATTAGCAGATAGTCATGACTGAGGGGTTGTTTAATTTACAAAACTATCAATACCGATAAAGTCACTTTGAAGCCAAAAATAAAGCCAAGGTGGAAAATAACTAAATTAAATCTTAGAACCCGTATTTACTGCTGGATTTTTTTTCTCTGTGATTTGTTTGGACACTGGTTGCCAACTATTTTTATTCGTGATGACTAGTTTGACAACCCCTTTTTAACCCACCCATCCCCCATAGAAATATGTCTGATGCACAGGAAGTTGTTTTATGAAAATGTTTACTTGTTTTTGGATTCAGATCAATTCAGTTTTACCAAAGCACCATTTGTGATTCCATGCATCTGGTAGTGAGCCATGCGTATCACTTGAGGTCTGGTTATACTGTTCGGGACTGCTAAAGCATCAGTGCATGAAGTGGGGTTCGAACCCTTGTCCCACTGGTTAGAAGTTGATTACCTAAACGGGCGAGCTATAACTCCACGGTGTATTCAGGCAAGTGTCTCTGTGATTAACTCCAAGTCCTCATTAAAATACTTTTATATGTTATGAACTACAGACCTGGTGTACAAGAAACCCACTAACTTGTTATATTGATGTGCAGCTTTTTTTTCGTCTTTTAAATTTCGTACTACGAACAACCAACTAGTTGATGTTGACGCTGTGTTCAAATTAGTGGATATATCCAAATGCTACCAGGTGTTTCAAAA